GAGTTTGAAAGGTTTAGAGCAATGGACGTTTTTGTTGATGGTGAATTGGAGTCTCTCTTGGGCATGTTCAACTTTGATCATTGTTCATCATCTAAGGATGCCGAGAGACCGCGAGATGAGATGCTTGGCCTTGCTAGCCTTTACAATGATCATCTTCATCATCAGAACAATGTCTTGTCTTCTGATCATCATGCTCTCTTGATTCCTGATATGTTCCCATTTGGTGCAATGCCGGGAGGTAATCTTCCGACCATGCTTGATTCTTGGGATCAAAATCACCTCCAAGAAACAGAAACTCTCAAAAGGAAACTACTTAACGTGGAGAATCTATACAAAACTAACTCTAACTTTGACGACGTCATGACAAGACAAGTAAGTAAAAGATCAATATCTATTAATAATTTTCTTACTTTATTTTAATTAATGTGCAATAGACTAACTTGTGTATCATTAACGTACGCAATATAGGAGCTTGTGAAATCCAAGAAAAAGCAGAGGGTGAGCCCGGAAAGTGATACCGTGGACGATAGCAACACTAATTGGAGAGATGGTCAGAGTCTAAGTAACAGTTCCGATGATGAGAAAGCTTCGGTCACAAGTGTTAAAGGCAAAACAAGAGCCACCAAAGGAACAGCTACTGATCCTCAAAGCCTCTATGCTAGGGTAAGAAAACTTGTAAAAAAGTTATGCGAATTTTATATCAAAACTAATTGACATATATTTAAAATTACCTAATTATGTGGGATTTTAATTATGTTATTGATTGTTGCAGAAACGAAGAGAGAAAATCAACGAAAGGCTCAAGACACTTCAAAACCTTGTACCGAACGGGACAAAAGTCGATATAAGCACCATGCTTGAAGAGGCAGTCCATTACGTGAAGTTCTTGCAGCTTCAAATCAAGGTATATATATATGTAAATTATTAAATTAATTTTTGTTAGAATCTTTATATAACATTCATGTTCTAACTAAACCAAAAAACATATGTTATAAAATGTAGTTGTTGAGCTCGGATGATTTATGGATGTACGCACCATTGGCTTACAACGGGCTCGACATGGGATTTCATCACAACCTTTTGGCTCGGCTTATGTGAAAACTCCCAAGTACTTAATTACAATCTCATTGTAAAGAAACCGATTTAGAACATAAATATCCCATTATATAATTGGGTCCAACCAAAGAGGTTTACTCTCGGATCGTGTACCACA